CACTAAATAAAGACATATAGAAATCCCTACGGTACAGACTGTATATGGCTGGTATTGGTAGTTTAAAGAAAAAATACACACCAGTATTCCACTTTCTCCCTAAACATTTTAAGCATCAGAGTCTTACATGTGGTTATTTCGGAAACGTTTGTACGTGCTCCTTCTGACCATGTTACTGTTTACTGTTACTGACCATATTAAGTTTAAGTGCCTGTGGGCACGTTTCCTTTCAGTGGGTGTGGACCGTCTTTCATTAGAAGGTTAGTATGTTCTACTCTGAGAATGTAGAGGGGGTGGAAAGTGCCCGCGGTCATTTAATTAGTATCAAAATTCGCACTGATTCCCTTGTGAAGATACGGACATAAGAATATTTGTGCGTGGTAAAAAAAATGGCATAAAAATGACAAAGTGAAGGCTGTGAAAACATTCACAATGTACTTTATACACAAAGCAAGTGTTCTCACAACTCTAGGAGGTTTCGTGAAAATGCTATAGGCATGCCAAAATCGTTTGTTTTTTTTTAATTCAAGGTGACTTTGCCGCAGTTTTCATTTTCAGATTGTGAATCAGAAAAGGCATTTAATTAAACACGCAATTGCAATTTTAATCAATTACTGTATTGATTGAAACACACATTCTGTACAGATACAGTACAGTCACATTCTCCTATCGTCCAGTGGTGTAAAACGAATTAGCAGGTGATTGAGATAACAATGCACCGCCCACTGAGTGGGATTCATGATAAAGGTGGTAGGTTGTGTACTTTTGTCCAACAGAACAATCTTACTTTTATAAAATATACCGCCTTTTTAATGTTTAATGATTAACATGCTGTAATACACTGTTTAAATTTAAAAGTCTAAAGAGTATGCAACTTAAATTCTTAATTGAATAAAGATTGTCCTTCAGCAGTGATCGGGATTCGAAACCGACGTTTTCTGGTGACAGCTCAAATGCTGTACAGGAGAGGGTAACCTTTATTAGCTCCATCTGGCAGTTTTATAAGGTGATTCCGGATACTATTAACAATCTAATTTGCATACGGTATACTGCGACACGCCCACCGTGTTATACTGCAGCATACCCCGCTTGTTTTGAATGGCTGCATCTGTACCTTTTGTATTCTGCTAACCCTCACTATAAGATCTGTTATGTTCATATGCACATTTGATATATTAATAAATGTATTCTCGTGTATTAGTATCCGTGTGTGTGCATTGCTGAGATATTCCGCAAGGTCAGTTTTCTAATAGCCATCAAATAATCACTTTGTGACTTACTGCTACAATTAATAATTGTCCCAGTAAATGCACAAAACCCCTACAACCTGAAAGAGACTCATTGTGTTCACAATAAGCTATAATAGTAGACTATATTTATGTATTTGGCTATGTAAGAAACAAACCGAATGTAATGCTCTGACTGGGCTTTGAATCATCTGGGTGCAGTGCACTACACTTCAGTCCATTGCCCATTGCCACTATAAGGACAATACAAGTTTTAAATAAATGGATATTAAACTTTTTCCACACTTGTGATATTTTAGCTGCTTAGTTACACGATTCTATATTAATATTACTATCAAGTGGTATTAAATCAGCACAACATTTTTAACAATAACAGCAAGTGGAGTTCTTACTACTGTACGTATTCTTTGAAAAGGATAAAACATTATACAGTTCCTTTTTATGAAGTACAGTATATAAACTTAATATGTAACCATGTTAAAGTCATAATCCACCATAAGTAATGATGTTAAAGACTTTGATAAAAATATTTATGAAGAGGGTAGAATACTGTTCTGTATGTTTTCATATTAAGCTATCACTACCATCCACTGTGCACAGTACATAAGATTACTGTGTGTACACTATTACATTACAGTACAGTTTTTGTTTTCTGCTACCAAAATTTACCTTTGGATTTCATAATGTGAATGTTAACCTGAAAAAGGCACATCACATTCAGTATAATACAGTATAATAACAGTTTAAAATTAACGAAAGTCTAAAGAATTTACATCATTACAAAAGATTGTCCCTCAGCATTGACTGGGATTCGAAACTGGGCGTTTTCTGGTGACAGCCCAAAAGCACCACACTCCCCGTTAAGCTTTTACAGCTCCACCTGGCAGTTCTACAAAAAACTGTAGTCACATTACTGAAAATTTCTAAAACGCTGCAGACTCCTGCAATCTACCGCAATCTCGCACAGCCATTGAACTTTGAATTACTGCAGTATCCCTCGCGCGTTCTGAATGGCTGAATCTGCATATACTATATACACACCATGTATTCTTAAAAGACAGCTGCTATGGGATTAAATATTTTTAAAGCTGAAGCGGAAATATTTAACCAAACTTTAATGATTATGAATACTTTTCAGGCTAATATTATTTAGATATGAAGCTTGCATCAAACAAGTACTATTTTACAGCTTAGAAAGTGCCAGTGTTGGACACATAGTATTTCCTTGCTTACATGAAAAATAATTATCAGTTTTTCAACATTTTTGAAAGCTAGTTTTGGTTTATTCAAATTAAATAATTTAAGTGACTTTGGGTAATTATAACTGTTGAACACAAACCTTTGTGACAAAAGTGTTGTTGCATTATCTGTGAGAAAGATATGTTAGTATGGTTCTCCCATACAGATGACAAAAAGATGTTGTGACCCTTCTCTTTGGTTCTAGAGTTATTTTAAAGATAAAACGGTAAACAATTCATGTCTATGTGAGAACATTTAACTAAACCATCAAGAGATTACAGTATGGTTTGAATATATGCAAAGTGGATTGTCACTAATGAAGTCACTGAACTGGACTGTTAAATGAGATCATGCGACGTGAATACTGTATCTCTTACCGGGTCTCCAGGAAGGCCACGGGGCCCATCTTTCCCTGTGTTCCCAGGAGGTCCTCTGGGACCTGGAGAACCAGGGGGGCCAGGAGGACCAGGGGGGCCAGCCTGTCCTTGATCACCCTAAGAATTAGGGAGAGAGAGCCATCACATACTACCAACAATAATAGTGTTTATCACCAGTAACATTATTACATATTGTACAGAGAAAGCACTCCTGTATTAATCTGGAACTACTATTATTAGTATTCTAATAAGTCACAGAAGTGGGTCTTCTTAGCAACGATTATGTTTCAGAACTGTTTGTGCAAATTTGCAGTCACAAGCGGACAAACACTGGAACTATGCACAGTTCACCGACATTTGTTGTATTTCACTCTAGTGATACTACTACCGAATTTTTAAAAGGACCTGCAGACCTGAGTGGAGTAATTGATTGGTTTTATGCCTCTTAAAGTCTTTCACTTTGAACTTAATTTGGTTGTTTCAGTACCAAAACATCAACAACTCATAAATAGATTACACTTCATGAAAATTTAAAGTTTTCAGAATGTACAGTACATCTGAGGTTAAGAAAACTCTAGCAGAGGTATCAGCTTTGCAGATAAGTAAATGTACTGTATACTATACTCTGTAACATTTGAATAATTACTTGATACTTCTTCTACCCACCTTGCAGTTTTGGCCAAGCTAAATTGTTTTTAATATACATACCTGTAACTCCACAGGTCCAGTGTGCTCGTAGCCTGTCTCACATATTACAATATATTTCACAAAGAAGTTTGGAATTTACCATTTTTAGAGGCAAAAGTGGGATTTTTCCTTAAACCATTCAGATCTTCTTTTTAGAGACAATTATAGTATATTATTTTCTAAAGCTTAGCATTTGTACCCAAGGGCACTGAGCAGCACTGAATAATGATGCTGTTTTCTGAAGTTGTAAAAAATAATCTGTAAAGTTATAACTGCATTTATTTTCAACAAGAGCAACATCAATTTTTTTAAAGAACAAGCACATGCTTTTGTATAATATCAAACAACATGCACAGTATACTCAGCAATGCAAGAAGCTCTAAAAAGGTGAGATACCAGAGAGAGACATAAAGACATTAGGACAGAGCACAGGCTGAGACACAAGTGCATAACTCTACCTTTAAAATCCGCCGCTGAAAGCTAGGCTGATCAGCAGAGAGAAATCCATGGTCGAAGCGAGGAAAGACCATCTGACCCGAAAGATTGATGGTGAACAGAAGGGAGGTTGAGAGGAAAGCCACCAGAGGATGGAGACACAGAAGAAGGAAACCAGAAGAGAATATTTTGTACAGTAGTAGTAAAGAAGAGGGAGGTTCAACAGGGCCCTACAATGAATAGCATGGCAGTTTCCTCATTCATTATTTCCAGTGCTGCAGAGAACATATATTTTTCAGTCAATTAAGGAAATGGTAAACACATGTTATGTAATTTCAGTCTCTGAAGCAACAGTATGAACACTTGAAGCTGAAGTTCAGGTGCTGCTGGTATGCTCCAAGCTGTTTATGCCTCCACTGCCTGGCCTTAATACTGCAGTTAAGAAAATAAGAAGGAAAAATATAGGGTGCTGATTAAAGATAAAGAGGAAAATGAGATTTAGTTATTAGAATAAGAGGCACAGGTGAAGCATTTCTAAGTAAGGCCAGTGGTAGAGAGCCCACTGTTATGTTCAGGACAAACCTTCACTGTGAGAATCTGATTACTGAGCAGAGCTGCAGAAGCACTCAGGCGTGGAAATCCCTAGAGACACACAATATACAATATTGATGCTTGCTGAAGCTGGAATAGTGTCCTTGTAAAAGTGTGCATAAACTACAGCAATGTTAAGAACTCTCATCCACAAAACAGCTGTGTAAGTACAATTGTGTCACCTATGAACTAATACCTTAATAGCTGCTAAAATCAGAAGCAAATGGTTCTAGCAAAATGTTGGTAACCTTTTTTCAATATCATGTGATGTTGATCATGGGTATGGACCACTCCTGTCTTTGAAGGCCTCAGGGCTACTCTGCCGTTGATCTTGTTCAGAAAACAGATAAAGAAGTCTAATTCATACTTTGTTACTCTTAAAAAAATAATTAATTTAACAAAAACATACTTATTTTAAGACTGTCGGTTTGACCATTGAATATTCACTGCAGATAGACTACTGTTATTAGAGATAGACAGATCATTGTTTTGTGAGGCCCATACCGATCGCTGATTTTCTGTCAGCAGGATCGGCCGATACTGATACAATCCGGGTCGGGTGGGTTGGTGTGTTACTATCCAGCCAAAGACATGGTGTGTTACTATCCAGCCAAAGACACAAAAGATGGTATGAGCTAAAATTGTTTTATTAACAAGTGAGACAACGTTTATTTCAATCAACTCACATGAAGTAACAAGCTGCAGTCTAACAGTTTTTCTATAGATGAAGATGACCAAATGCCATAATCTGAAAAGTATTTCCGACCAGGAATGGCTCTACGTGAGATATCAAGTGGCAGAATCCTACATCTTCAACAAGCGAAAATGGTTGGTTATCTACCGCAATAAATTCCATTATTTTGGTCTTGATTCATTTTGCTTTCGGGCTATTTCTGCTGTACCTCTGTTAATTCTCAAATGTCGCCTGCACTGACGGTTGTCTCAATGTTGGTGTAGCTTTATCCCTCTTTGCTAGCTCAGGTTAGTTGAATTGAAATTCTTTATGTTAATTCCCCCACAAAACATGTTAGTTTTACAAACATTGCAAATATCATTGGCTTGATCTGGATCAGATATTATAAAAAACTGCCAGACGGATGACATGTTTTCATTCCATGGCAAATGGCAAAATTTTGGCTCAAATATTTTGCGTCATAGATCGGCTCTCAGTATCAGCCAAATGAAAGGAACATCAGCTGATCACATATTTAGAATGTTATGCCGATTCTGATTTATAGCCAATCAATCCTTCTACCCCTAATTGTTATTCTTAGTTTAACAGCTTACATGCTTCCCTCTTCTCAGAGCATACTCCATTTGCTGCCTGTCATTAGTCTGAAGGGACGGAAGTCATTGACCTTAAAAGCTCTCACCTTAGCTGAGAGACATATGTTTTTCTAACATCCAGGGTATGAAAATACATAAACGCAAGGAATTTGTAATCTTTATATATTAATATATTGTACCTGGTCATACCTGATTACCCTGTAGTTTCATAAATATTGTCATTAATTAATAAAGTCACTGTAATGTGACTAGACATACTGTATAGATATATAATAATTTTAAAAAAGGAATTCAATTCTGGGATATAAGGTTGTCTAATTACATTTACTCAGCTTCATTCCTTAGAGAAAATCAAATTTTAATATGACTGAGGCATACATTCTGACTTTGCAAAACGTAATTTAGCATTTAAAACCTTTGGGTGACTGTTCAAAAGCCAAAATGTGTCTTTTCATAGTGACAAATAATATTTTTCTTTGCATGCACTGACATAATGACCAATTCTTAGTGTATAGTCCAAGAGAAGAAAAGCTCAGGAAACATTTGTGTAACAATGATGCATGACCAGGTCCTTTTTCTTCCTAACAGACTACCAAAGGTCATGAGAAGTCACCAAATCATTACATCAAAATTAAAACCTTCATGTCTGGTATTAAAATACCATTTTAATGACTTTTAAAGAACTTTGTCTTTCAAAATAGAGCATAATGAAACACTTTCCTACCTAAACAGTCTGCTCGCAGAGAGCAGAACGATTTTTCCCCAATCGTCTTCAGTCCAGCCTTTAGCACAACTTTAGTGGAGTTTTGTTAAAATCAAACTAGGGTCTGTCTTGGCCACTTTCTCTTTCACTTCCACACAGCTATTACAGTTATTTACAATTGCTAACAAGTGTTTTTCAATACCGAGTTCACTTTTCAAAACTCTTCACACAGTTAACACAATAGCCCTCTATGTGGACCAAACCATGAATGATTTTTTCATTGCTTAGACACAAAATGTATTTGGTGAACATAGTTTTCAAAATTAAATTAACTTCTCACTCAAGCTCCACTACCAGCAATTTGGTGTATTTTAACAGCCCAATTTGCAAATGCTTGCATATTCTGTCTCAAAACTGATAACACTAAATTTCAAAACCCAACATATATAGTAAAATCCAAGGGGATAGCAATTTGCTAAGTCGCAAATATATTTGAACACATTCAAAGCACAGAACAAAGTTCTAAAAATAAATGTTACTGAGACAAACTGCTGAATGAAGTTATAATAGACCAAACACAGTTGATTCCCATCACAGTTGAAAACTTACCCAGGTGCTGAGAGACTTTCAATTCCATAACCATCTCATAAAAAGAGGAAATCTTTGGAATGATTTTGCTCAACATAGACCCAGCAAAAAACGCAGGAGTGGGTGAAAGACAAATGGCTGGACGATGGAGAGGAAGAGAGAGAGGAATTCGAATGTGTGGTGACTTTCACCGCAAAAGAAGATCATGGCCTATTGTGTCTGATGAGATAAGAGCTACCATAATAGACCATGTCATAAATCATGGTCTGTCATTGAGAGAGGCTGGTCTAAGAGTTCAGCCAAATCTTAACTGCTCAACTGTCGCATTTATTGTACGAACTTTCCAGCAAACCAACAGGTAAGTTATGCATTTTACTGAAATGCATACAGTAAATATTAGCCTCTAGAACCACTGCTAATGTGTAATTGTATTTGTTCTCAAAGGACTCAATGACTACCTCCCTCAGGGGGAAGAGGAAAGACGTTCAATGCTGAGCAGGACAGGGCCATTGTGAACATGGTCATTGCTGATAATGCAATCAAACTTTGAGAAATTCAGGCGAGTGCTGGCAGATAACACTGTTTTTGAAAATGTTCAAGGTGTGAACAAGCCTTACAACGATAGCTCAGGCCCTGAGAAACATCACATCGGCATGAAGCAACTGTACACTGTTCCTTTTGAGAGGAACAGTGATCGTATCAAGGAGATCAGGCACCAGTACAGTATGTGCAGGTAAGGTGTCTATTCAACAGTAATGGTTTTGAACAAGACTTAGGGCACTGATGCACTCATGGAGGTGTAAAGTGTGACCATTGTCCACATGATCAGATGTCCCTCCTGGAAGCAATGGAAGCCGGATGCCTGGACATAATAACTGGAGAAATGCAGAAGAACGGGTAGACTAAAACCTGCATTACTGTACCTGTGACTTATAGTTTTGTTTTCAGTACTACAGTACAGGTTTTTTTATTACTGTAAAGTTCTGTTGCATGTACTGTGGTGGTTCATTGTATATGCAATGTGCAATCCTGTTTTGTAATGGAACGTAATATGGAATATAATATGGAACTGCGTATCTAAAGAAATTAAAAATGATATAATTATCATTATAATTATATAACTTTGTTCTCCCGCTACTTTACCTTTGCCTACTGCCCTGTCTCTCTCACACCTGAAGAAGGCTCCATGGCCGAAACGTTGTGTTCTCTTTCTTCTTTTTTTCAGCATGGAATAA